TATCCCAGTTCTTGGGAGGCTGTAACAGGAGAATCACTACAAGTCTGATCTAGGAGTGAGACCCTGAACATCTTGTAGACCTTTCCCTAAAATACAGAAAAAAATAGAATAATGATAAATGAAGTAATGAAGAGAATCATTTTGTTCATGTGATAGGCTACAACAGCTACACAAGGCATCATTCTTAACACAGTGTTAAAAGTGTTTTGTACTTAGCACAAAACAAATATTGTTTATTGCTATGAAGTTTGTTTTTTGCCAAATAGCTGTCTGATTGTGCCCAAATCATGCAACACATAATGCTTTCCCACTCACCTATGTTGGCTCTTTTTCATTCTTTAATTTATTACATGGGCTCAGGTCTATATATGATTTCTTTTTTCCCATTCATCAATTGGCATTTACATGTTTTAAGATGGTGTTTGACCAACCTCCTTGCATTGTAAGTTTTTAAAATTAGATTTGTTCTCTCAGGCTTCTATACCCACTCCCTCTAAGAACTTGAGGAAACTGTCTTGGGGATAACTGGAAGAGACTGTAGTCACTCCTCACATTGTCGTGCACCTCTACCTTTCATGAGTTTAGCATCTTGGCTTGGTATTTACTGTCATGGCTTCTGCATCCTTTGATATATGGTAATACAAATTTTCTCAAGACTTGCACTTGCATTGTGCTTTCTGTGACTTTGCTGACCAAAAGCAGGTTAGTTAGCTCAAAATGAGCCTGTACATCCTCTCCTATGGTTTCGCAAGCCTTGTTGTTCTCAATATGAACAGTCATAAAAGTCATGAAGAAGTAGACAGGCTATAGGAGTTTTCACAGATTTGACAGTTTTTGGGGATACAATGTAACAGGTTCACATTCAGTAGATTGTGCTAAAAGGCAGTCTTTCTCATTGGCAAATCATATAGGTTTCGGGGCATCTTGTTGACATCTCAAGTTTCTCCTAGGTTATAGGCAATTTGCTGCCTTTCTGAGACACCGTTGGAGGGGTTAGAGGATGATCTTTGTCATTCATTGTTGTGGAAACCCTTTCTTAGGCTAAGTTTTAAGTTCTTCTATCTACCTTGTCTCTTGAAAGGGCTGTTCCGTCTTAATAAACACTGAAATTCACATACGATGCTTCAGCATATATTGAGATGCCACACTTAACTTCTTGACAGTGGTCCAGTCTTTATATAGGCAATCCCCCTTGCATACATTGCGCTTTTACTTTTTAAGTGAAAGCTTTAGGAGTGGAAGTTCCAGTTTAGGTTTCAGGTATAAGTTCAATTTTATTAATTGTTACTGCTAGTTATAAGATATTCTTTCTGACTGAATATAAATTTTCAGTGATAAAAAGTTTAAAGTTTTAAACATCCATGTTGTGATTGAGATGAAGATTGTTCTGAAAATTTAAAGCCTCCCAGGGGAAGCAGATCTGGTAGACTGGACTGTGTTCCATAATTTGAGCCCTGATGAAAATCATCTGAAATTTTCTACAAATTTTTGGTCCTTGAGCTGCTTCATTTTTCTTTCATATGTGTTAGATACTCTTACCACTTGCCAACTAGATATTTATTACCATTACACTTTCGTTGATGTGGCTCAACCTCAGTGCCACTCTGAAGGCTAAGCTCATCCTTGAGGATGTTTGATACACAAATATAAAGGTATAGTTAAACCAATTTGTCAATTGGAAAGGTGCCTAACAATTGCTTATCCACATCACATGACACAGTAAATGTTAACCAAACATCTTCACTTGGGCAAGATAGTAAGTAGGAGGGACTTTCAAAACCCTACAAATTATAGCCAGGGATTATTTATCTCTTTGTAACAACTCTCCTAAACTGGTCAGTAACAGAAACACCGTGAGGTGAGGTTCAAATCAGACTTCGAGGTGTAAATGACACCCTGTGAAACACAGTCATCTAAAGCTGTTGGCATTTTAATAGTTTTTTAAGTCAAAAATCTGATAAAAGAATTTTTGAGAATATTTTGTATCAAAAAATAGAATGTCTGACTGACTGCTGGTCAGAGTGAGTGATAAGGAAGATATAGGATTGCAGGACTTTCATAAGGACCATCTCAGCCTTCTTTAAATGTGTTTTACAAGAGCTACCACTATCCCCTCAAAGTCCTTCCTCTCCCTTCCTCCCTTCCCATCATACTCTTTCTTCCCTCCTTTCTGCTTCCTCCTTATCTATCTTTTTGTCCTCAGATCTCCTTTTTTCCAGTCCAACCTGTGCAGAAAGGCAGAATTTAGCTGAACCCTCTTTGCTGACCCTAAGTATTGTTTTTTTTTTACTCCCCAAACTTCCCAGCCTCTAGCTTTCTCAGATTTTGACTAGACGAGAACATTGTTCACTCACCTACGTTGACGTGGTAAGTCCTATGCCATTTCAGTTATTTTCATTTGTACTCCTGGGTTTTCTTCTTCCTGGTGTGTAGCCTTGCAGCCTAAGAAGTACCCTGAGGATCCCGTGATAAAAGCTATAGGATTTCCAGCAACATCAAGCTAAAGCTATTTTTTCCCTCTTCACTCAGCCTTGACCTTGAGGCCATTCATTTCTCATCTACATTGTACTTGGACAGAAATCCTAATAACAGCTTCTTAATTGAGTTTCTAGAACATAATTAGCATTCATTTGGGATAAACATTCTAATTATGCTGTCTTTCCCATGGAACAAGTAAACTACAGATTTTTCTGATTACAAAAGAAAGAAGAAAAAGGAAAAAAAAATCACTTGTGGACAAATTTTTTATAAAATGCTTTGTGGTGTAAATTAGGAATCAGAAAAGGAGGCGGGATATAGATCCTTGCTAAATCTGTCATTGTAAAACTCACTGTGAATGATAGCAAAAACAGAAAGAGGAGAAAAAAGTAATTGCATACAAATTTTGGTGGTTGGAAGTAGTTTTATTCTGTCTGGAAAAAAATCCAAATAATTCATCACTTCAAGAAATATACTAACAGTGCTCTAAATTAAGCACAAAAGAATTCATTAGTACCATTTTAGTATTTGCTGAACAATAAGGTTTGCATCGATAAACTATCTCAGAATACACCTCTTGGATCTTCTACATGCCATTTCTAAATTGCTTTTCTAGATAGAACAGTCTTTCAAATCAGCTGCTATTTAATTGTATGCCATCCCTTTCCTTTTTTGAGAAGCTGAATATTATTGGTTTTTTAAAAAAGAAATAACCCTACCACCGTGGTTTTCCTAGTAAAACACCACATGCATAAGTAGTGTAAGTAGATTACAGAAAACAGAATTAGCAATTACTGTTGCAAAATGCAAAAGCCATAGCACAGTCAGAAGCTAGGTCAAGAGAAGTTAAAGAAGAGAATTTCCCATTGCTCCTATTACTTAAAAGAAAAGGCATAGCTTCTTCATGAATCTATAAACCACAAATAGGCTAAAAGTGAAATGATCTACTAGAATTCCTCACTGATGCTTTTTACTGTCCACAACATTAATTAGACAGTTTATGACATTACAAGACAAGAAAAACTACCTCTTGAACTGTAACTCATAGTGACTTTAGGAACTGATAACAATAGATATATAATGGTCACTACAGGCAAGATCTCCCATAAGCCCTAGCATTCACACTGCCATCTCCAAACCCAAAGGCATCATTAACACTTATGTTCACTTAACAGATGCAGTACATGACTTTCCCCATCAGAACATCTACTTTTTATGAAACACACAACACACACGTTAAAGTTTTTCAGATAACCAGATAACCCATATATTTGCACTTAACAGAGTTCATCTTATGTTCTCAAATTATTATTAATAATAATAATAATTATTATTATTAATCTGAAATTGAACTCACAATCTCATGCTTGCCAGGCAGGTGTTGTGTTTCTGAGCTATAGCCTTGGCCCTTGATTTTTATTATTTAATTATCAATGCCAGGCATTTATCCAGTAAAACCAGAGACAATTTCATTTGTCCCTATTTGCAAATACTACTGGATTAAATAAATGCTCAATACTTGCTAGTTGAAAACATCAGTGAATTGATATTTGATTCTCAATATTATATAAAGTATACTGCATCTGACAGGTAAAAAAGAAAGAAAAAGCACGTTAAATTTTCATTTGGTACATAGAGCAGTTATAAAATGTAAACAGTTTCGTAGACTGATCTTGACCTAAAAGTCAGTTTACTTCATTATTCTTTTGGCAGGGATGTGAAAATAAGAACTAAATTACTGACATTTAGTTTTTTACTGTTTTAATTTTATAGTTTTAAAATTGTTTTAAAATGTGATTGACACCTCATAACTGTACATATGGATAAAATGCATGTGTGTAATTGTTGATTTGTGGTTTTGATGTGGACCTTCTGTTATGATTTTAAACTTGAGAGGACAAGAGCACCAAACAATTGTCCACAGGTGAACTGAAAACCACTAGTGGGCTATCTATGCGAGAAGATAAGCCCTGATGTTTTTGCATAAACTGGACAAACGTAGACTGATGCTCGTCCAGTGACACTAGAAATATCATCCTCCAGTTATTACCAAACTCATTAGTCCAGTAACAGAATAACTTGTGCTATGATACCTTCTTTTTAAGTTGTTTTAAAATTTATTATAATTTCAGTCAAGTGACCAGAGAATCTTATATACATACTATTTATTATATCAGGTCTGACTAAGGTTGATTTTTTTTTCATACGTATTATACAGGAGACAAGAGAGGCAGTGTAGGACAGGATCTGCTATTACTGTAGTCTTTCTAAGGTAATTTTTAACTCAAACGTTTATTAAGGATCTACTAGACACCATGTATTATGCTACAAACAGAGAACGCACACAATCTTTTTTATTTTATGGGCAAAAGGAAGCAAGCAATAATCAAGTAGCAGCAAAGATATATCAGGGAATGAGAAGTGCTATGGTAAATACTGAGATTCCACGGTAAATATTCAGTTTGTTTTTTTAAATCAACCACAAAACATCAACATCAGCATCTTTTAAACCTGGTACTTACCACCACGATTACATTTGCTGCTGGGATCGGCAGATTTTCCACTTCCAGATCTTGACCAGCCACAGCCAACAGATTGAGAGATGGGTCATATGCAGTTCGAGGAAATGCAGAATTAACGATTCTCTGGCTTTTGCCAATATGAGTTTCAGAAGGGGAATGATAGCTATGCTTATAAATCTTTTGTGGAACAATATCCAGGCTCTTTTCAAGGTCTTGTAATTGGTGGTAGATGAATGTTGGCTTCCCACTCTTCTTCGGCTGAATTGCCAAAAAGTGGTCATTATTTCTTGAAAAACATCCTAAGAGAAAAAAAGTGGGGGAAAAAAAAATCAAAGGTCTTGTTTGGTAAATTACGTAGAAATATCTAATAAAGGGAATTATCCTCTCTTGGCATAGGATAACTTGAGGACCTGCGAAAGATAATGTGAATTAGTCTCCATTTCCTTAGTCATTCCTAACATATTGAACAAAATTTCTGGTGCAGAAGTAGACAGAAATGGGTGTTGTTTGAAAAAAATTTCCATTCACCAGGTATTCTAATACTTCTTTTTAGGTAGAGTTTTTATCTTTCATGTAAACCCATAGTTCAATGCTCTGTCAGATTTCTATTTCTGAATGTTCTCCTTTCTTCTCACATGTTAAGCATTTTTATCTTGTGTAAGCTTTACCTTTTCAAATTGGTAACATTTACATGATTCTTAATTAATGCTTATCTTATATTGCTTGTGATATAGTTAAAATGTATAGTGTTTAATGCTTATAGAATATATTAAGGCCAGTGATGGAAGAAACACAAGTACATCCATGATAACAAATTCCAGGGCTGATAATTTCCACTCCCTACTTATTTCAGGATATGTCAATTTAGCTAAAGACTACCTTCCACAGCTTTCCATGTAATGAAGGATTGTCCTTGCTATTGGAATGTGACTAGGCATGATGGGAAAGAACTGAGGCCCTTCCTCCTATCTTTGTAGCTTAAGCATGATAGGAAATCAAAACAAAGGCCCAGGGGCTCTGATGATACTGGAATTACCAACCAATATCAGAATCCCACATCAGACTTCATATGGGAGGGAAATAATTTTCTACCTGTTGTTAGTTACTATCTATCTATCTATCTATCATCTATCTATATTTATTTCTTCTGCTAGGTAAATATCCACTTAATTGAGTAATCATTTCTCCTGTTAGTCACTGGTCACAGGGAAAAATAGATAACAGATATGAATCAAAAATAATACCATTATAAATATAAAAAAATACCATTAGCTTGAATAACAACTAGAAAATGAAACATAGGATCTTCTATTTAACAGTAAGCAGAATGAACAGATCAAAATGTAGTACTGGTTCCATATGATATCCAGTAGAACTAGGCACCCCAGAACCTCCCTTGGTGTGCCTGTGGCAAAAATAACCTATTCAAATACTGTGCCTATTAAAATTACTTGCGTTCTTGCACATGATTCCCTCCCCAACCCCTTATTGCTTTATCTTTACTTTCCAAATCTTGTGAGGATCTGTAACATTTTTCATTCCCTCCCCCTCTTTTTTTTCAAATTTCAGTTATTAATCAACCAAATTTTAATTTCAGTATCACTCTTAGGGAAGATACAGCTTCTGAATTACTAATCCTATAAATTCTCTTATTTTTTTAGGAAACCCTATCACAAAGGCAAGAAACCCAAGTTTATTCCAACATACAATATTCCTTCTCCAGAATAGGAAACATCTTTAAATAAGGAGTCTTAGAAAAGTTAAACTGGAATAAAAATAGCATGTCCAGTTTATTTTTGAACTCCAAGGCAACCACTTCACTGCAGATCTCCACAAAATAAACTACTTTGCTCTGAGACACAAGAAAATCATTCATGTTTCATAACTGTAGAAATTCATCTGAGACCTTATAATCAGGTAGAAAATTAGTTTTACTAAAAACCTTAATACATACCTTCTGGTCAAAAAATTTAATATACATCTAAAACTCTTTAGCACTATTCTCTATTAATAAAATGATGACAAGAATAAAAACTCCAATATATGCTATTCTTAATTCCATAAATTATGTATTTTCCTAGTGCTGTCTGAATTATCAAATCTGAGGAATTTTTATTTCATACAGAAAATAAAATTTATAGTTGTCTCAAAATAATCAAAACCAGTCAT